AAAAAAAAAACGAGAAATAATACATTAGCTTTCTAAAATTTATATTCGTTTCTGCAGTACTATTATTATATATGATCAATATCCTGCTTACATCCCCTTACATCAGCTTCAAATAACGGATTATACAGTTGCGTGGAATCGCCACCAGCCAGTTGATAAGATATTAGTGTAATAAGCACTATACTAATCGCCTGCAAGAAAGTAATTATTAATTACTTGTACAGTAAATTTCAAAATGTTAAAATTATATTCTGTTAGATATATTTTAACATTGTTATACTATCTTGTGATTTTATAGAACTTCTTAGTCGATTAAAAGACACTCACCACTGTGTAAAACGCTATAGCCTTGCAACCAGTCTTAACACTATTTGACCAAACGCATGGCGTCCAATAAGATTCCACGATCGCCATTGTTTACACTGAAATAAAAATTCGAATATGAGAAAACGTAAAGCGCGCTTTAATTCCACCGATCACGATGACGTTATTGAGCGACAGTCGCAAAACTTGGGCGTCGACGTGCACCAGAGTTACCAACATAAACATATACTAAGGGAATTACAAGTAAAAGTTGTATTGAGATTAAAACGAAATCGTGCTGATGCGCAAAATTAATTCCACATCCAAAAAGTTAATATTCGTTTGCATCACTTCTCCAAACGCCGAAGCCGCGTCAAAAGTGCGCTGATAATTAATAGCGTTGCAGCAAGCTCATGTTACAAGAAGCGGAATGATTCAAGCACGTACATTGAATTTTGTTTATGTAAAATTGCCAAGCACGTATAGGAAACTTAAAATGCAATCATAATTTTGAAATGAGATACAGCACTTCTCGTTTGTTGGCGCAACATTGACGTAATGAATACCAATTGCGCGTTCTCCATTGCCATGGCACACGATGCAGTAAATTCACATCGAACACCAGCACCAAGTCGTTTTCAAACATCGTTCTTCTTTCGCTCGTACTTACGATTTTTTGGAGGTACAGGTGAGAAAAATAATTTCAATCGAATTTCTTCCGCAAACGTCGACTTCCGCCACGGTCACCAAGATTCGAATGCTCGAATCGCCTCGGAATAACAGCAGAACTGACGAACAGTGCCATACACGCATCGATGGACGTACGGTTAATGGCGTCGTGTTCATCATTGGAGACCCCCTCCACTTTACGAACAGGTCACGATGCCGGCTGTTTCCTTTTCGCAAAGCCTGTGTAACGCGTTGGTTCTACCTGTGCTTCGAATAGTTAGCTAAGGTTGCCATGTACCATAATATCAATCATTATTACATATATTCGTATAACTAGTTATTTATTAGGAAGATTTTCAAAATATATATATTAGTATATTTTTGAATAATATTCTTGATAAAATTCGAAGTTGTTATTTATTATTTGCATATTAATACTTTCGATTTACAAAAAGTTTATATTTTATAATTAATTTTTAATCGTAGAAGAGATTCTCTGCAGAATCATATCTATTGCTCTTTTTGTCTTTTTTTTATAAATTCTACATTTATTTTATTATACACAATATCAATATATCAAAATAAAAATCTATAAATATATTTTTAGTAAAGTACATAAAAATTAGAAACGAAATAATTAAAAAGGACTACGAGTCAAGTAAGATTGTCGTGCTATCAATTTAACAACGTTTCGACTCACATCGAGTCATCTTCAGTGTACATAAATCAAATCGGTCAATCTCAGACAGGTTTGAAAGTTAGT